TCCCAATGCTCTCCCGCCTGCCCGGGCTTAGGGTCCAGGACTCGACGAGACCTCCCACCCAGAGGACACCCCTCCCCCAACTGCCGCGGGCGCGCGGTCCCACTAGAATGCGCTTGTTGGGGCTCTGTGGAACAGCACTTGCTCACGATTCATTTAAAGAGCAAACGCTTTCGGGATCAAGCCATTTCTTTCCCATAGTTGCCGTTTAGTGCTATGATAAACCGTGGAAAAATTTTAGTCATCCGTCTGCAAATTTTAATGGAATCTCTCTTTCAACCGTTCTGTTGTGAAAACTTCAAAGCAAATTTTAAAATATTTTAGTGGCAGAATGTTTTAATTTTTAATCACGGGGCTTAAACCTTTCCATTTAAAGTTTAGCCTACGTGTTTCACAGACCTTAAAGTAAAACAGACCAAGCCTAACAACGATGGAGATTTGTTTAAATTTCAATTTCTTCAGAACAGCCTCATAAAAACGAGGTTAGTTTTATGGGAGCAAACTAAACAATGGAATCCATAGTCGTTGGTTTATGACTGCATTAGCCTGAGCCTCACCGGCCAACCACAGCCACCCAGTAACTTTCCACGTGTGAGATGTGCTTGGGAACACAGGAATTTTTGTCTAGCACCGGTGAACTTTCCTGTTTAACAGTTACCACACTGTACAGAAACGTCCTTTGGTACACAGCCTGGGCACTCCTCTTCCAGGGTGTCGAAAACAGGACTGACTCAATAGCGTCTAATCCCAAGGGCCCTGTCTTCAGAGACCCAGGACAAGGCCACGCGACTGACTATTGGTGCTACCCATTTGTTTAGCCCTCTGCTTCTTTTTTCTCCCCTCACCTCCACTCTCCATTCCTCCCCTCCTTCCTCTTCCTCCTCCTTCTTGGTATTAACTTAAGGAAATGTGCTTGGGCCGTGGTTAACAATACAACCTCCCGAGCCAGGCTATCAGTGCTCCAAATGCTGTGAGACATTTGTACTTAGGGCGAAAAGCTGCAACTTCATCCTTTGTAAAATTCATCCTTTGAGACGATAATAGTATAATTGATGTCTCGAAAAACAAACAAACAAACAAACAAAAACAGTGTAACTGATGAATTATTAAGCAATTATTGTACACCAGGTATGGAAGCACGTGCCTTGAATCAGAGCTCTCAGAAGGCAGAGGCAGGAAGATCACTGCAAAGTCTGCTTAAGTTCCAGGCTACCCAGGGCTAGACCCCTGTCTCAGAAACAAAACAACAAAGGAGTGTGTGTGTTTGTGTGTGTGTTAGAACAGTGCGGACCTCCTAGCTCTCTCTTGATGTTTGCTCCCTGCCCAGTGTAGCAGGAAACAGAAAGTGTTGCTCTTCCCTGTATCTATATCTGAGCTGAGGCAACGCTTACCACTGGTGAGGCGTGGAGAACCCTCCACAGCTGAAGACAAGCAGACCCCTTTGTTCAGAAGCAATCCTGGAACTTCAGTGTGCCCAGATGTTTAGCCCAGAAGCAGAAGTCCACTCTGCCCCTCCTGACCCTTAAAGCTAGACGTATACGACCCCTTCTAGAAGCTGCTTTGACCATGTTAGTAAGTCTGTTCTTCTGGCTCTTTTCCATCTTTCCACTGTTTGCTTTTCTCTTAGCCCATGATAGGCCATGCCACTGCACTAAAGAGAAACTTACAGTTATCTCAGAGTTCCTCTTAAGACATATGTCCAGGGGCTGGAGAGATGGCTCAGGGGTTAAGAGCACTGACTGTTCTTCCAGAGGTCCTGAGTTCAATTCCCAGCAGCCACATGGTGGCTCACAACCATCTGTAATGTGATCTGGTGCCCTCTTCTGGCAAGCACTGTATACATGATAAATAAATAAATAAATCTTTAAAAAAAAAAAAGACATATGTCCAATTTACATTTTGTAGAGAAAACACTGTATGGGGTGATTTTGAAACTGATTAATTGATGTATTGATGTGTGTGAGAAAAGTCATAACTAAGGTTAGTTTTCATGAAATTGCCTGTGACCTACTTTCTTGCTGCTGTTTGACAGTCACTGTGTAGCTCAGGCTGGCCTCAAACTGAATCCTTCTGCCTCAGCCTCCGGAACACTGGGACTATGGCTCTGTAACCTGACATTCTGAGTAAAGCTGTAATAGCAAGACATACAGCTCCTACATTCACCACTGAAAGGAATGCCGCTGAGCTAGACTGATGCTGCACTCAGGTCCAGCTGGATTTAAAGCCTGATCCACCAGGTCCTAGGAGCCTACCTGACCAAGTGCATCTGTGTGCAGGGGATGCAGCCCTAACTGAACTAATTCTGACATTTAACAGGTGCTTGCCCACACAGGACTGCACAAAGCTGCCTGTGCTGTCGCTGCGGGCATTGTTCTGTGGCTCTCTAAGTCCCTCTGGCTCCTCTCCCCCAAGTATCATCATGTGTGCTGTTTCTTTCCTTTTTCTTTTTTCTCCCTGCCCCGTTTGTTTTGTGTAGGGGAGGAGGGGCTACATGTGCCAGAGCAGAGGAGCAGTAGTCCATTCTCTTTCTACCAAGTAAGTTTCAGGATTTGAACTCAAGTCATCAGGCTTGAGCCATCAAGCCATCTGGCCTGTCCTCATGTGGCATTTTATTTGTTTATCAGTGAGATCAGTAACACAGAAGGCATCATTATCATTTTTATTCTGAGGCACGGAGATGTTAAGAAATTTGGCCACAGCCACTGAGCCAGTTATGATGCCACCTCTAAAGTTACAAAGTTTCCTGACCCAAGTTCCAAATTACTTATGCTTTGCTGAAAAGGACAGGGACCAAGGTAGATGATAGCTCAGTGGTACTCAGCCAGAATGTACAAGGCCCTGGGTTCAATCCCCAGTATTGCAGAGACAGACAGACAGACAGACAGACAGACAGACAGACAGGAGGCTAAGGCAGGATGATGCTAGCCTGGAAATTTAGCAAGACCCTGTCCCCAAATAGGAATAGAAGGGCTGGGGATGCAGCTCAATGTAGACCATCAGCCCAGCACGTAGCAAGGCCTTGGGTTCAATCCCAGGACCTGGGAGTAGGGGCAGGGGAGCAGAGACTATGTCCTCTCCCCCTAGAACTCAATAGTGGATAAATGGACTAATATAAAGAGAGGTTAGTTTGCATTTTGATTTAAAACAGTAAGTCTTACTTTTAGGGAAATACAAGATTAAATATAGAGCTAAGTTATTTGATGTTTTTGTCAATTTTTAGCAAAATGAATGTGAAATAAGGTATTAATACAATAAAGTATGCTTTCTGTGCTTTACTGTACAAACAGTGCCTGCAATTTAATTAAAATTCCTTTCTATGTAATGATGTTTGTGTTCACAATTCTCTTCTTTCTAAATTCTATGCTGCCCTGCACTCAACTGACATTCAGTTCTTGGGTTTATCATGGTCTTTTAGGCAAGCATTGTTCCTCAGTCTCACCTGAGCCCAGATAGGGGAAGTGACAAAGTGGGTTGGCACTCAGACCAATGTGGTTCCAAGTCCTTGCCTAAGCACCTTGAGTCAGCTGGTGGCGACTCCCAGGCACTCTGTGGGGATGTACTGCCCTCTGCTGGCCACAGGAATTGTCAGCTCTCACTGTCAATAAATACATAAATGAAAAATCTTCCTTTGTGCTGATAAAAAGCCTTGGCTTTTTGATGCGCAGGAAGCTAAGAATCACAGTGAGTTTCTTTTGCAGTTAGGTCATTTTTCCCCTTCTATAGATTTTTTTTTCAAATTCTCCCAGATCTTCAGCTTCTCCCAACAAGAAAACAACTGTAAAAAGAAACAGTCTGGGCTATTTTGTATGCAAATGAAGTAAGATGACCCATGCTGAAGCTCCCTAGTGTATTGTTTTTGTTGCTGTTGTTTAAGGGAATTAAATAAAAAGAAGGAACTTTTTTTTTGAGACAGGGTTTCTCTGTAGCTTTGGAGGCTGTCCTGGAACTCTTATCTGTAGACCAAGCTGGTCTTGAACTCACAAAGTTGTGTGCCACCACTGCCCAGTAAGAAGGAACTCTTAATGCCTTTGATCAAAACTTAAGTTCAAAGTTTTATGAATTACTGTGTTGGCAAGGATGTAAGAAAAAAGCTCTCAGGAAAGTATACATCTGTTGGTGTTAACATTGATGTCCCCCTCTGGTTATCTAGTCTACACTGTTAATAATAATGTTAAATTTACTCTAAAGATAAACTTGTACAGCCAGGTGGTGGTGGCACACACCTTTGTACCCAGCATTCAGGAGTCAGAGGTAGCTAGATCCCTGTGAGTTTGAGGCCACCCTGGTTTGCAGATCGAGTTCCAGGATATCCAGGGCTACTCAGAGA